ATGACCCACGCCCAGTGCCCCATGACGACCTCGACCAGCGCGGGCGAGGCGGACTCCTCCAAGGTCAGGGCCTCGGTGGCCAGCACCAGGTCCCTCAGCTTCTCCTCCTTCACGCGACACCGCAGGGAGACCGGGTCGATGGTGATCCCCAGCTGCTCGGGCAGGCCGACTCCCTGGCTCTCCTTGTGCACTGCGAGGCCGCGCGCTGTCACCGCGCTCCTCGCCTGACCAGCTACCTCCGACAGCACTGGGTCGTCCGCCCCCTCGCCGAGGAGGCCTCCGCCGTAGTCGTCGATGTAGAGCCAGTACAACAGCTGGTGGTCCGCGAGGCTCGGGACAGGGCTGCCGTGCTCCACGCGCCCCGCCCCGTCGGACTCCAGGTCGTCGAAGCAGTCCATCAGCGCCGTGTGTGCGAGGAAGACCGCCCAGCTCCAGCCCATGGGGACGACCGTGCAGGCGACCCCCAAGGTGCCCTCTGGAGGTCGCGGCAGCGATACGCCTCGCTGCTGACCGAACTCCCAGAGCGACCACGGATCCACCCCAGCCAGCACAAAATAGGAGTAGAGCTCGGGGATATTCTGCAGCCTGTAGAACATCACTGGCACGCCCCCCTGGAAGGTCAGGAACTGCTGGTCCCCCAGGACGTCGGGCCCGAGGTCGATCTCCGCGAGAGCTGCGGGCGAGCCGAGCGGCACCCAGGGCGGGTCCTTGAAATGTAGGTTGACCCGCCGAGCGTCCCAGACGAGGCGGGACACCACTTCCCGCCCCGACTTCGTGTGGGCCACCTTCTTGACCACGGTGAACACCGACAGCTTCTCCCGCACGTCGTCCACGTACGTCAGCATGTTCGACTCCCACATCTTCAGCGCGAGCTCGAGCCGGGCGACCCCCTGCTTGAGCTCCGGCGCCTCGTACGGTTTGATCTTGTAATAAGCTTGCATGTCGATCTCGCCCTCCGACTTCAACATCAAACGTCCAGGCTCGTCGAGGTAGGCCTTCGCCGTCACAGCCAGCTTCTTCACGCTGACCCCTCGTAGCCCTTTCGGAGGCAGGTCGACCTCCTCGACCCGCAGCGGGCATAGAGCACCCCTCTGCAGGCGATCCTCCTCCTTCTTCTCCGAGGCAGAGCCGCTCCCATAGCCAACTGGAAGCTTCTCGCCAAAGCGGCGCAAAACCGCTCTGCCGTCGTCGATGGATCCCCAGGTCGCCCTCCGACTCTGCTCGTTCCAAATCCTCCTGACGATCTCCTTCTGCAAGAACGAGGCCTGGTTCCAGGGGCACTCCGACGCCACCTTGGTCCAGTCCTTCAGCTCCTTGAGGTGGCCCCGGCTCAGACTCCGGAGAGCCGCAACGGTCCGACATGACCTCAACCACGTCACCCGCAGCTCGCTCTCGCTCATCTCCCCGCCACTGGGCCCGCCCCAACTCGCTGGCACAAACGGCAACGTCCCCAACAGATCTCGATGCGCCCGAGGCCGCCCCGAGCTGGGCACGAGGGGCTCCCCGATCTGGTCCCCACCTGACATCTGAACGACGAACTGGTGCGCGACCAGGATGAGAAGGCAAGTACAAAAAAGCCCTCACGTCCTCCGAGTTGAAAAAGTAGAGCACCGACGCCCGCTCGCGGTAGCTCTCTGGGGCGGACAACGCTGAGCCCCCGTTGCCGAGGGAACGCGTAGGGCTGCCAGCCACAGACGATGAAGAGAAGCACCTACTCCCCCAGGTAGAAAGGTCGATGAGCACCGCGAAGAGGATCCCGACAAGCAGAGCCCTCGACCGGTGCACGGGTGGTATTCCGCCTTTGAACCGCTCCCCCACCCAGGAACGGCTAGACCTTCACTCGTCCTTCGCGGCCGACTCCGAGACTGACCCTAAGTGCTTCTGGAAGAGCGCCTTCCTCTTGAGCTTCTCGGTCACCTCGTCGTCAGCCGCATCGATATCGTTCTCCGAACGATCAAGGCGGAAGTACTGCTCGGCCAATACCCAATCCACCTTGCTCCGCCACTTGGCCCCCGTCTGGTTCTTCGGGCGCAACCAGTCCTCGCGCCGCTGGACCTTGTCGAACGCCTTCATCAAGCTGTAGATGCGGAGGCACACCAGCTCCGCCGCCCTCGAGTTGATCACCGTGCTCGGGGGGTCCGTCTCCAGCATTCGGTCCAGCACCATGCCCATGACAGTGACCTCCGCGGCGGCGTTGCAACTCTCGAGCTCCTTGCTGCGCAGCCACTCGCGCAGCTCAGCCTGCGCCGTCCTCCCGCCTCGGTAGAGGCGAGTGAGGACCTCCGGCGCCACACGCGTGCGGATCTCCCCCACGCGCCCGAGGTCCGCCTTGTCGTCGAAGCCCTTCAGCGCCTGGATCATCGTCTCGCGGGGGTTGCGGGACTCCATCTCCACTCGTCGATGCGAATCTTCATCGGAGTGCGTGCCGAGCCGTCCGAAGCACCGCTCGAGGACCGGTCCCCGACAAGCTCGAAGCCGCCCCCCGAGGAAGGTGAAGGTGACGGGGCCGAAGATCCGCTTCCCCTCGTCGCCCGCGAGCTGTCCATCTCGACTATCGTCTCGTGCTCCCTGAGCTTTCGCAACAGCGCATCGATCTGCCCCTTCGATGGTTCCACGAACTCGTCATCCCGCCGTGCGTCCGCTGAGTCCGAGCGTGTCGACCGCGATGAGCGGGGCGTCCCGGGACGGTCCTCAGCCTCGAAGCGCACCGCAGGAGCAGTCGCCTTGAGCTCGCGAATCTGGTCGGCCAGCTGCGCCAGCTGCTCCTGTCCCGTCAAGATGGTGCGCAGCAGGTCCGTGGACGAGGGCTCCTCACCTGAGTCGGTATCCGAAGCGGATGTGCCCTTTGCCCTCATGTCCCCGTCCTCGCTGTCCGAACCGTCATAGTCCGAGCCCGTGTCCGAGGCACCCGTGTTGTAGTAGATGGCCCAGATGACCAGAGCGCCGATCCCCAAGGTGATCAAGTAGAAGTCCAGCTCGCCGCTCTCCCGCATCGCGCCCACGCTGTCCTTGATGTCCCCGAGGTAGTCGAGCCACTCTCGTCCCTCTTGGTACGCATGATAGGCGGCTCGCGCCCACTCATACAATCCAAGGTAGTGCCACACACGCCAGCAGATGACGCCCGTCGCGGCCAAGGGCCCCCAGCTCCGCCGAGCCCAGGCCCACAGCCCCGCCGTCGTCACAGCTTCCATCGCACTGAACCTCGGGAGAAGCGAGAGCCGCTTGCGACCACCCTTCTTGACACCGACCTTCTTCGGGCCCTCCTTCGTGACGCCATTCACCCTGTCGATGAGTCGAGCGCTAGCTTGTTCGGCTTCTTGCTTGTCATGAGCGCTCAACCCTTTGTGATCTGTGTAGACCACTCCCGTCTTCGCTCGAGTCGACGCGTGGATCTTATCCTTCGGATTGATCAACTGCACCCGCCCCACCGGGTCCAGAGCCGTCCACTCGCCAGCCTTGCCGGGAGCCCGCTCCAGAAGCAGCATCACCACGCCTGTCGGCCCGTCCTTGGCCGTCCGCCAGTAGATCCGGTTCCACTTCTTGAAGGCCATCGTGTACCACTGCGAGCTCCCTCGATCTGGATGCCAAGGGAAGCTCTCCACCCGTTCGTGCTCGACCTTGAGCTCCGCGACCTCCTCGACGTCAGCGCCCTCCTCGAGCACCAGTCGGTCCTGGAGGCCCAGGAGCAGACACACCACCCAGAAGAACGTGGTGCCCCGCCGCAACGCCGTCCTGGCGCCAGGGGCACCGCCCCGCGGCCGAAGGCCGCGCACGTGCGCCAGCTGGGCGCAGCCGCGCCCCAACGCCGATGGCGGCGATGGGCGCTCACGGGCCCTCGGGGCGAGGCGCGGGCGCTGGCCACGAGCCTCGAAACCTTCGAGCCCAAAAAGCTACAAGCCAAGATCGTAAACGGAGACTAAACGTGACGATCAAGAGAGGAGGAGGAGAGGAAGCGGCCACCCCATAAATACACCCCTATAAAATCGAGCCCGAGAAAGAATGTTTGAAAACTCATACTCGCGCGCAGACCCATTCATACTCATATTCCCTCGCGCTCTGACTCACCCGCGTTCTTTCTCTCGTAATCAGATCAATCGTAATCCTTTGCGTTGTGTACCCCGCCACATTTCGGCACACCCCTCATGCGGTTCGTGGCCCCATAGGGAGCGCCACCGAAGAAGATACTCCCACTTGCGATACTCACAACTGCATATGGTTGGGTCCTTCGCCAGGATAATTTTCGGTGGCCAAGGGCGCAAACTATTGCGCAACCGGTAGGGGACGGTTCTATTTTCGGCGGCCGAGGGCGCAACCTATGGCGCAAACAATAGGCGACGGTGTCATTTTCGGCGGCCCAGGGCGCAACCTCTGGCGCAACCAGTAGGAGACGGTGTTATTCTCGGCGGCCGAGGGCGGAACCTCTGGCGCAACCAACAGGAGACGGTTTGATTCTCGGCGGCCGAGGGCGCAGCCTATGGCGCAACCAACAGGAGACGGTTCTATTCTCGGCGGCCGGGGGCGCAGTCTATGGCGCAACCAGTAGGAGACATGTTTTTTTCGGCGGCCGAGGGCGCAACCTCTGGCGCAACCAATGGTTGAGCGGAGGGATAGGAGGAGGGTGAGGACGAAGACGAACAACGAAGACGGCGACGGCGACGGCAACGGCGACAGCGGCGACGACGACGACGACCAGCACCGCCACAGCGACGACACCCGAGGCGACTACAACCACGCCGACGTGGCCCTTACTGTCTGAAGTTGGGACTGCGTGCGGGGCTACGCTCGATTTATGCTCGCCGTTTGGGCTGGCGGCGAGGCCCAAGCGGCGAGCTGTCTTGTGATTTATCTGGGTTGTTCCCCACAAGTCGATGTAAAGTCGTTAAGACCTTGGGGGAGCTGAGGGGACGGGAAGAGGGTGGGAGAGGAAGGAATCGTTGTTGCCTCTTTCGCCCGCCTCTGCTCGCCGTCGTCGTCGTCGTCGTTGTCGTTGTCGCGCGAAGGCCCGCAGCTCATCGTCCCCGACGGCACCAGGCGGCCTGCGGCCCCCATCACTGCGACCGTGCCGCTCTCGCGGAGGGGAGCCTCACGAGAGCACCGAAGAGCGTCGCGGCCGTACCACTATCTCCGACGATACGGTCAGAGACTTTTGGTCATCGAGTAGCGCCGCCGGGCCCACCACAACTTGGCGCGACACGCCGTCCACGACCCAGCGTCAACGTCCTGAGCCTTTTCCGAACTTCCCCGCCCAACGGATCGGAGCGACACACAATCCGCTCGCAGGGCACGGCGTGTCGTCGAGGCTACGCAGCAGTTCCTGACCGTATTCCCTGTTCAATCCGGCGTTTTACCAGAGATTTCATTATCTGTGGCCCGTTTTCTGGTCCTGAGACATACCAAAACAGATCCGGGACGAAAAACTGCACCCGGGGAAGGGGTCGGGAAGTTTGGGGCCACGCATTGAAATATCACTTCGTCGGATGCTTGGGGGAGTATCCATATCGACGACCTCGCGGTTCTTCAGAAAAGTGCTCCGTTTCCGCGGGGTCGCGGCCCAGAGGCCCAGCCCGCGAGGCCGTGGATGTGGACATGCCCCCCGTCGCCGGGGGCCGCCATCGGCGGCGGTGGCGGCGACGCCGTCTTTTTGTCGGTTTGCGGGCGCCTCGCGCCGACCGTGGTTCGACGACTATGGCAACGACTTGGGGCGGTATGAAGGGCGTGTCGTGCCGAGGGGGCTCGACGACGTCGACGTCGTCGTCGAAGACGTCGTGGCGACGACGTCGAGACGTTGATTCGTGGGGGCTTCTCGTCGCCACGGCTGTTCGCTGCTCGGAAGTCTGCGACGGTTCGGGAGCGCGGTTGGCGGATCCGCGCTCGAGGAGCCAGGTTCGACGATCGAGCTTCGAGGGCCGAGTCCGTTGAGTCGTTAATGTCCGCCCTTGATTGGGGCCTCGTCGCGACAGAGAAACAGGCACAGCCAGCTGTCCGACGCTTTCGGCCCAGCGGGGCCGCCGTTGCAGAGCAATTCGGGGTACAAAGCCCGTCCCGGGAAAGGGGTCGATATCTCCGGAGGGGGGGGGGGGGGCACTTCTCCGAAGACACCGAAAACCCTTCAGAAGGCCAGAGGGTTTCTGAGAATCCCCGCCTAACTCTGAGAATGCCTTCTCCCTATCACTTCTCTCCTGGGCTCGCCGCCGACAAGCCACGAGAACATTCGACGGCGCAGAGACGGTTTACGGTAGGTTCATGCGGCGATGGCGCGCCAGCGACGCCCGCGAAAGCGTTCAAGGTTGAACCTCTTGATAGAACGGCGCGGAAGCATTGCTTGGCTCCAACAAAACTTTCCTTGGTAACTCGCAAGAGGAATCATATGTATGTAAACCCGTCGGCATGATGAAAAGTCGCGCGCGCGTGCTCAGCGTTCGCACGCACGCGATCCCAAGACGTCCCATGGCCACAACATGCTTCCAGGAATGCCTCAGGCCACGGACGATAATGTCCAGAGGACCCAGGATGATGCCACCCCAACGCGATCCCGCCATGGATTCTGGACCGTCTCAGGCCGACTCGCAGATGACGAAACACATGAGCAACGCGTGACGCCGAGATGGCCCGATGGCAACAAGATGGATCCAAGCGCACCCAGGGTGGCCTCATAATGACCACGCGATGGTTGCGTGATCCAAACATGACCGGGATATGATCTCAAGATGACCTCAAGACGACCCCAACACGGCAATAATACTGCAACTTATGAGCCCCATCTTACTTCGAGCCGATCCCAGCATGGTGGGATCCGTGAACGGCCCGGGATTTTGGTCTACCCCATTTTTAATGGGTGGGATTTTGATCCTCCTGAACTAAACTTAGAATATTAAAGCGGAATAAGCCAGGCTGGATCCCGCCTGGCCCACGGAGGAAGACAACATTGCTAGGCTTCTACGGGGGTAGGGGATTCGGAAGGGGCGTCGTTTACTTCCGCTGACATTGGCAAGCCTTCCGGCGGCCTTCCCCCGTCTTCCGCCTCGTTTTACTTCCGTCGACTTCCGCCGGCCAGAGTCGTGATGAAAATTCCAGGAACTTTCATTGGGCCGATGTGAGGGGCACGGCAACGCCACAGGACCCGACGGAATCGAACCTTGAACGATCAGGTCCGCGATCGGTTCAGGGCTGAACGATCGAGGCGGTGTCCAAGGGACTTTGCGCGCGCCGACGCCACACGAACCTGCCGTTCTCATTTTATTCATTCACTCCGCTCACACGAGGGCGGGCCCATAAAGGGCGCGATGGAAACGCAGGCGCCAGTGCACAGCTTAGCGGCGCGCCTGCTCAAGTGCAGAAGTTCCAGAAATCTTCAGTCATGTCTGTCCACGCGACGCCATCTTGCGCAGCGCCATGCCAGGAACCGATGTGATTCGCGTGACAAAAAGCAGTCCGCTTGTATCCCATCGCAACAGAGGACGGCCGTGTGAGCGCGACCCGGGCGGCGTCCATTTCCAGATTCTTTGCCTCGTCGTTCCGGGGGTAAACGTGCAACATCTCATGCAGTATCTCAGTATTTCTTCAGTGACTCATTATCCGGACCACGACCGGATTCAATGTTCCGTCAGTATTTGATTGATCGTGTCGTGCCAGACATGTAAAGTCTGATGCCAAGGTCGAGACCAGTCCACGCCCGGGCAGGCCAACGAGTTGCCGCAGCAGCCGGCGGAATTAAGCATCCACTGTGTGCAAAGAGTCGCTGTACGGCTTCCAGACATTATCTCCAAAACAAGCCACAGACTTTACCACGCGACCTAAAAATCCAAGGCGAGCAGTAAGTGGCACATTCTGGTCGAATGGTATGGCTTGTTTGCAAATAATGGTTTGTTTGCCGACGCCAAGTGGTACTCCACGTCTAGATGGTGCGTAGCAGACCCACAAACGGCCAGCATGCATCTCAACCACTTGTGGGCTGCATTTTGGGGCAGAACTTGGATAGCCGCGCCGTTCTTTCTGATAATGTGTTGCGGAGGTTGCGCTTGTGTCGTCATGGCCACCGTTTCGGCCGCATTCAGAAACAACCCAATTTTCGCCAGTTCGTCAATTAGTGCGTCCAACAGCATTTTGGCTTCGTCTGGTGTCCTGGCGAATAGTAAAATGTCGGCAAAACGCAGATCGATGAGCGGCCGCATGTTCATGTGGTCTCTAAAGTCGAGCCCAGGATTTGCTACTCGAGCTCTCCACGGTCGCATGGCCCATTCCAGAACTGCTCCGAAAAGAACTCGGCTGAGCAGGCACCCTCAGCGAATGCAGGCACTGATTGGGAATGCCTGGCTCTTACCCCAATCGCCTAAGCATTGTCCATCTTGGTCGCGGTACAACTGGTGCAATGTCCAAATCAGATGGTCGGTTCACCCCGAGGCGGTGCATAGCTTCCCATAAAGTTGGCCAGGATATTCGGTCGAAAGTTAGATAAGTCCGAGCTCACGATCCGCAGCGAACAGTTCGCCGCCACAGTCTTCTCAATGACATTTGTTGCCGTGACAATTGTTGCCGTCAGCTAGTGTTCCTCCAATCGCAGGTTAGCTCTAAGTCCATGTTGGTTACCCCGATTCCAGTAGTTGCTCGATGCGCCCCAGCAGCATATAGGCAAACAACTTATCAAGAAAACGAATGCTCGCTATATAGCGAAAGTCGCCTACTGCCTTGGTGCGAATCTTCTTTGCCAACATGATGAAATACTAGTGCGCCGCGACTCTGGAACGTCCCCGCCCCCGAGCACGGCGTTGCAGAGCGTTCGCAGCATTTCCCGCAGTCCAGTGCTGGAGTGTTTCAGCATTGCCGCCACTAGCTAAACCACATTCGTCAGGTGCCTTGTTTGAGCCCAGTCGCCGGACGCCCTCGTCGACTTCCTGGTCGGCGAGCGGTGCCTCAGAAAGTGCAGGCGGCTATTCCATGTTCACGGCTGCCCAGGCTGATATGCCGCGTAACATGTTTGCAAATTCCTCCGGCAGCGGTTGTTGCGTTACCACTTTGCCAGAAGTGTTTTTCCCGCCGACATGATGCAGTAGACAGATATCGTTGCAAGCGCCCCGTCTTACAAGCTTTCGTCTTCTTGCGGCACATCTGGCCACTGGCGAATTTGAAGCGACAGCCGCCTCCTCACCGATTGGTCCTCCTCTTGCCGTCTCTTTGACCGTACATTTGGTAGAGCGTTTGACGAGGTGAGCATGTGTTGGACGGTCCGTTTCCTGTTCCTGCAATGGCCGGCTCCTCGTTGTTACGATTGCTCGATGTTTTTGAGCGTAGACTTCTCAGGAACAGACCAGGTGAGGAAGTCATGGAATGACATTGCAATCCCGTGCGCATCCAAATTCGGCTACCAGTTCTTGAAGCTTTTCGGCCGCTGGGGCTGCTGTAGCTTCAGAGTCGAATACCTGCACCAGCAATGGACGCGCCGGTGGTCAAGGCCAAAAACCAAAGCATTATCGCGCAAATTTTCATCAAACTCGAAAGCTATATCAACGCATATATAAAGTCAATCTGGACGCGTGATCCGTCGAAGGATCGTTGGCAAGGCGACGATTCAGGGGAATGTTGCTCATCCTGCTGGCGGCTCAAGACCTGCAGCCTATGTTCCAAGAGCCACCGAATTAGCTTCTGCCCACGAGCGGTGCGGACGCCACACCCCCATCTTCCCAACAAGTCTAAGTCATCCCTTTGTTGGAATGCACTGATAGGAGATAGGAGCGTTGAAAGCACCACCAACGATTGGAACCATACCCTGGTGCTCACCATCGTCAAGTAGAGAGGATAGTCATGTGCAGACTTGCTCGGCTGCCTCCGGCGTTTCCCGAGATGTCGGAAAATATGCAAAGTTGTTCCAAAGTGCGTTGCACCATACCGAAAGCCTAATGCTCAGACCCTCTCTGAAAGAGGATGGAATCGGACCTCGCTCAACTGCACGCGGACGTCCCTCGACACGCCTATGCAATCGCCATGGTGCTTCGACCCGCTACTGAAGTGCAGAAGATCACCACGAAGCGTCGCGATGATCTCATCTCGCTCTTCCCGCCATGTCGCCGTTAAGAAATCAGCATCGTAGGCAGACTGGCCAAGCTCCAACAAGAAGTTTTCAATCCGAGTGTTGTCACGCAAACTCTGTTCATTTTTGGTTACCAGGTGCATGCTCACCGCCTCGGTTGGCAAACGGCTCCCCGATTCTCGGCCGTGTGGCGGATCGAGCTGTGGACCAGAAACCTTTCGAAGAAACAGCTCGTCCGCGATCTCGTTCGCAACCTCCGTGACCGCGTCGTCCACCTCGAACACTCATCCACCTGCTGCGGCGACTCGTTCTCAGGCACGTTGGCCACAAGGCACAGGCGCCGGTTTGACCAGACATACACCTCGAACGTATTGCAGTTCGTCACAATGTGTTTCGGTTGCACCCCCTGCAACTCTATCAACAACTTCTTGATCTTCCTCAGCAGTTTGTCATATTCCTCTCCTCCAGGTGGCGATTTTTCAGAAGCCCACAAACCCGCATCCTTGAATTTTGGATGGCGCCTCTGTGTCTTCAGGAACTTCATGGTCTTGGGCGATGTCGGAGAAGCGGGCGAACACGACGGTGGGCTTCTCGTTGAAGAGCCACAACTGCTGAAAGCCGCCAGTTATATCCAGGGCATCTTGGACAAGCTGCTCTGCCGCATCGGCTCCTCGATCATCAAAACCTCCTTCAGACCAGCAGCAACCACATTCTTATCGATGTCCCCGGTCTCAGAGTCCGGGTGTTGGTAGCCTTGGAATTTCCCCTCCAGGGCGACGAGTCGTTTCTCCAATTCCTTACGTGCTTCCCGTTCTTGCTGCAGCTCCTTCCTCATCTCACTCATCGCTTGGGTGTTCGATGATCGATTTTTGGATCCCGGCGATGCCATTTTGGATCTCGTCTCTCATCATCTTCCTGAGTAGGGCAAGTGTGGCAGGTCTCATTTCGATTTTCTCGACAGATACTTTGGGCGTTGGTGTCGCGAGTGCCAACGACTGGCCACTCACAGCGTTCGCGCGCTTGGAACGTGCCAATGTATCCCGATCTGGTGTGCCAATGTGTGCCTCCCTCTGAGCTGCCTTCACAGGCGGTAGCGCTTGATCCACAGAGGCGATGGTCAGAGGGCCTTTCTCAAACTCTGGTGTCAAGTGTGCCCATTTCGCGCCGTGCCGTGTGACTTCGCCACTTGTCTTGGCGACCTTGTACGTCTCGCCGCTTTTATGTGGTTGACCATGGCCTTCTCGGATTATCCTCTTTAAACTCGGTGCGAGTGTCATCCTGTTTCAAATCTGATATCTGCTCAGAAGACAACAGCATGGCTCCCTGAAAGCAGGACGAGCTGAGGAAATCCAAGAAGAACAATGGATGCGAGGAGTGAGAGGTAAGAGTATGCGGATGTGCGGGGGGTCATTGATGCCGTACTCAGGGGAGGACAAACTACCCCGACTCCGACCATTGGCGTTCACTAAGCGACCCTGGGCGTTTACTAAACAGCCCTTTCCTGCTCCACTCCTTCCTTTGGTGTGTTTACTAAATGGCTCCACGTACGCCTCCCGGCGTCGTGTTTTCCTTCCTGTGCCATGCCGGCGGTGTTTCCCAGGATCTCAGAGGAGCTCCGCGAGGCGCGTCTCAGGCGGCCGCAGGAGCGTTAAAGGACGGCCCGCGGTGCAGAAAACCTTCGGGAGAAGGAGTCGAGAGCTCGGAGGATCTCAGACGATCAACCAGCGACGAGCAGAGGGGGGCAGGGAGAGGGGCGAAGGGAAAGGCTTCGTAGGAGCACCCCTGCTTCTTAGAAGGCGCGGGCCTTCTTCGTATAGATGCAGGGCCCACGACTTCTAAGAAGCAGCCTGCTTCTAAGAAGCCCTCCCCTCCCCTGCCCCCCTCTGCGCGCCGCCAAGGTCGAGAGCTAGGAGGATCCAGGACGGCGGTCAAACAAGTAACGATACGACAGGCGCGCATCCTGGACACTCAGGACGGAGGTTTCTCTTCGTTTTCGGCCTTTGAGCGCTCTCGCCGGGCCCCGGGACTGTAGAAACCGAATCATTGTGAAGAGCCGGTCCCGAGGAGAGGGTCTGGACTTTCGACGACCCAGTATTGATAAAATATGTCATCGTATGCTTGGGGCCGAGAGTTCGGAGGATCCAGTAATATCGAAAACGTCATGACGTTGGAGGACTGGAGGAGGCCAGAATAGATCGGGGCAGCCAGGTAGGCCTTGGACACGCGAAAATCGCTCCAGAGCGTTCCGAGACGCTGTCATAGCGCTCCCCTGTGCTTTGGCGTGGCCGCGGCAGCCGCTAGATTTCAGGAAACCGTGGGGCCCTGGAGACCCCGAGTTACGCACCTCCCAGTTTTGTATGTCGGTGTCTGTCTTAGTCGGACCATCTTGGTCTGCCGAGCTTTGTCCTAGCTTCGCCTGTATTAGTCGGACCATCGCGCCTAATCGTCGATGCATCGTCGAGTGGCGCGATCCCCAGACCTCTGATGCTAATTATTTTTCGAATGAGGCGGCCCCAGAACTTGGTCCCGGATTATTTCTGACATCCCCACAGCCCGAAAAGGCCATGGACAAAGAGGAACAGAAACGTCCGCCTTTGTTTTGCACGACGCTGCAGGTCTGGGGATCGTCTCTGGCCTGGCGTCGCCGATTTGCAAGACGTTGTAGGTCGGGGGAAGGTATCCGTCCAGATTTCGCATCGCCGATGATGCATCGATGATGCGGTGCGATCGTCCGACCGCACTTGCTCTGGTCTAATTCGGGCGACTGCGCCGCCTGTGGGACCATCGGCGTTCATACATGTATGGCGTTGGCGCGAAGATGGGAGGGGCTCGAAGTGCACACTGAGTCGAATGGTCGGCCCAGAGGCCCGGTGCGTCGACGCAGCAGCTTCCCAAGCTGCCAACCCAGACCCCCGACGTTGTGTTTTCGGGGGGGCGTTTGTGGACGGCCCGCAGGGCCGGGCGAGGGCCCCCCAGAGGCCGACAATAGTAAAAGAAGTCACGTCGTGTTTTTTGCTCACGACACGAGGGGTCTGTGAACCAGGATGTTGGCTCAACGGTGGCCGGCCAAGCGACGCGGTGTGTAACTACATCGAGATCACCCTCCGAGGAGAGGAGTGGGGCGCGATGTCTCCCGAGATGTGGGGACGTTTCTCGGGTGTGTTCTCTGAAGTGGTCCTTGAGGGGGGGCGGGGGAGGGCGGAAGGGACAGTCAGAACCGGCGTCAGGGATGGGACCTTCTCGCAAGAGCTCCTTGCATCTTTCGGTTTTGGCAATCCTTGTCACGTTTTCGATTTCCCGGCCCACGGGTATCCTGGCGGACGCGCTCATCCTTGGCATTCGCGTTTTGTTTGTTTTGTGTGTGTGTTTCATGTGTGTCGGAGGGGGTTCAGGGCCGTCCTTTGTCCTGTTTTTGATGTTCAGATTTTGGCGCATTCCAACGGTCTTGCTTGCTTGAATAATGATTTTCATCCTCATGATCCGTTTTGACTATGGCAGATGCGTTCGGAGGCTTTTGGGAACATATCCGCTCGCTGCCTTCCCGTGCAGCCCATACGCGTAAGTAATTGAGTTTGTCGTGATGGGGTTGAGGCCAGGTCCTTGATGACTGAGGGTGTTCTCTCGTCTTGGGTGTGTTGGTGGGTGGTTCACGTGCGCTGAGGGCGTAAATGCGAGACATGATGCCCCCTTCTACAGATATTCCTGTATTATCTGTCTTCCGACCTGCCTCAATTTCATTGGGGCTTGGAGCGTCGTCCTATTCTGGCGCCGCGCTTACATGTTCTTGCTCGCGCATTCGTGCAGGTTTTGCCCACCGGCGGTCCAAATGCGAAAACCTCCGACTTCACACTTTGAGCAGTCTGGCTTGAGGGAAAACGTGTCGTGGTGGGAGCAGGGCCTGGGCCCAGTGGGCACTCCATCCTGAGCCGTCTTCTGTTGGCCTCAGGGGGCCCTGGAAAGGGCCCAGAGGGCCCAAAGCAGGCCAAACACAAACAAAAACCTTAGGACCCCTTTGCTCCAAAGCCCGCAGAAGGCGGCAGCATCGCAGTTCCCATCCATGAGCACTGCTCAGCAGAGGGAGAGGGGTCCTGGAGGAGAACAAGAGGTTCCATGCCGTCTTCCGATACTCGTTGCCCTCCCTGGGCCCCCGAACCGTCAACAACGGCTCGCAGTGCAAAGTTGGTCCAGGGGGAAGCCCCTGAAAACCTGTCAGACCCGTTTCCTCTAGGAAGCCTTCCCCTCGCACCGTTCCCTCACCTGGCGTCACGCCCCAACCCTCTGGCCTGGCAGAAGCATATTTGCGCAGGCTTCGTCCGCCTCTGGCGCCCACGAGACAGCTGGCCCAAACCGTGTGAGGAGTGTCGTAGACCCTGGACGTGGACCCCGGAGGTCTCGATCCACTCCCAGGACCAGTTTCTCACCCCGAGTCGTTTCTTGACAGTCCTTGGGCCCGCGGACGGCCCCGGGAGGCCGGACATAGCAAAATCTGGTCGTCGTGATTGTGGGGGGTCGGGGACCGTCGCAGCCCCCACCTCCCCCTCCTTCTCTGATCATTTGACGTTTCCAGTCGCGACCGACGAGACCGGTCGCTGACGATTTTGCCTGAACGGTATCGTTCGCGACTGGCTCAATTCAAAATCGGCCGCGACCGATCGGTCGCGACCGATCGGTCGCGAGCGGTCGCCATTGATTTGGAGTGCCGGTCGGTCGCTACCGATCGCGACCGAAAAACAAATCTAGTATCCGATGACCTTCGGTCGCCGGCCCGCGCCGCTGCAGGCTGAAGTCCGTCTTGCAGGAGGCCGTCTGCCGCAGGACGCGCGGCCTCCGCCCAGCCCCAGCCGCAAGGGCGGGCGGGGGGGAGACCTCTTTGGAGGGGCGGCGGCTGCAAGAGGTGACGTCGGCGGCCCGAGGTTCAGTCAGGTTTCCTTGTGAGATGAATCCTCCAGGGTCTGGAGCCTCCTGGGCACACCCCTTGACGAACGCTCCCATCGTTTCGTGATGGGCGGTGTATTTGAGTGTGGGAGGGGGCCGAAGGCTGCATGGCGGCTATAGCCAGAGGTGACGTCCGCGGCCCGAGGTGCCCAAGCGGTTCCTGGCGGCGGGGGGCTGATCCCAGACATTTGGCGCCTTGGAAGCTCGAGACGTCTTTTAGCACAGCTTTCGGCTTCTCGGGGCGCTTACCTTGCCGCGGGACCGTGGAAAAACAGTTCCGGCGGTCCCAGCGAAGTGGTCGAGAGGTCGGGGAACCGCGTCTTTCAAAAATCGAGACGCCAGATGTCTGCGTGTGTGCATGCGCGCTTGCGTGCGCAGGAAAAGGAATTATGCGGATAAGGAAGAGGAGGAGGAGGAGGAGGAGGAGGAGGAGGAGGAGGAGGAGGAGGGCGAGCAGAAAGGCCAGAGGCCTCGTGGATGCCTCTCGGGGTCTCTTCGGGTGTCTTTGGGGAGCTTGGATCTCTTGGTGGCCTCTTGGGGACCTCTTGGGGACCTCTTGGGGGCCCCCCGGGGCCTCCTGAAAACCCTTGTGTCCCTCGTGGAGCACTCCTTGGAGCCTTGGGGGCCTTCTTGGGGCATCTTAGAAGAGTTCGATCAAAGAAGGGTGGGTAGTCAATTAAGCCACCCCCCTCTGCAGCTCCTGAAATCGCCTCTTCGACTCCTTGGAGCGCTCTTGGGCGCTCTGGGGGCCGTTGTAGGACCCTCTCGGTCTCCTTTCGGGTTTCTCTTGAGGCCTCGGAGGGCCGTCGGAAGCGAGAAGGCAAGAAGGCCAAACACATTGATTTCCCGTAGGTTCTTGAAGGATGTTGGCCGCTTGGTGGCTTTGTTGGGAGGTTCCGTTCCACCAAGAGTCGTCATGGGGTGGTCTTGGGGCCTCTTGGAGCCTGTTAGGAGCCATCTTGAGCCATCTTGGAGGTAATCTTCTGCTCTCTGAGGCCCTTTTGGAGCCATCTTTGTCCATTTGGACGCTCGGTCGCGGCCCCTCCCCCTCAGACCCAGAAGAGGGGGGAGGGGGGAAAACCCTTCCCCAAAGGGGAAGAGGGAAGAGGGAAAGGGAAGAGGGATGATGGAAGAGGGCTGGTGAGAGCAGAACCCTTCAGCGACACGCGATAATGGACAACTGGCCCCCGTCGATCTTCAAAGGCCGGGGGCAAAACACAGCATAGCAGAGCGCCTTCCGCCCCGCGTGGCGCGCAGGAGGCAAGACCTGACCTTCAACGTCAACGGCATCTCCGCGCTCGGCGGAGCGCCGCTTTTCCAGGCGATCCTTCTGCCGCCGCCAGACGACGCTGTCGTGGTCGTCGTTCTGACCATAGAGGCTTACAACTTGCGTATCACCCCGCATCGCAGCCGTCTGGTGGTCTGAGGTGGCCCAGCTCTGTCTCTGGACAGCCGGAAGGGCGGGCATGTTTGGGTTCGCGAAGGTTTTTGTTGTTTCTGCCTCCAGGGCTTGTTTCGGGCCCCAGGGTCGTGAACAACTGGTCGGGGGTAAAAACTCCAGATGGACACCGGGAGGGGTCCCGGGACAGATTTTGAGCGGATCTGGCTTCATTCCCCTCCTGACCGATTGTCTGGGGCCCAGGTCAGGCCTCCCCGCCGACTCCCAACCCGCAACTGCGGATACGGGTTCAGGGGCGGCGGGGTCGTCGGCAGTCTGCGAGGCTCCGGAGAAGCCCGCCGCAGGCGCCGATCTTTTTGTTTCGACACTTCACACAGCGGGCCCGCCGCAGGCGCCAACTCTTTTTTTTCGCCAAAGCGACGTGGGTTGGTCGCGGGTGGGTCGCGGGGGTCGCGGGTGGGCCGCGGGGTGGTCGCGGGGTGGTCGCGGGGGGGTTGCGGGGTGGGTCGCGGGGTGGGTTGCGGGGTGGGTCGCGGGGTGGGTTGCGGGGTGGGTCGCGGGGTGGGTCGCGGGTGGGTCGCGGAGGGGGTGCGCCAGTGACGACGACAATAACAACAGCAGCAACAACAACACAGCAACAACAACCCACAAAATAATCATAACAAACATTGTAAGTTTGTTCGTTCTTATCTGCTCGCGGGCCATTCAATACGTATATCCCAATTCCTCGATACGCTGCCCTCTTCGTCTTCGATCGTGCCCCCTTGGGCCCTTGGAGGTTTATATTTCTCTTGCCTGCAACTTGTATTTCGTGCAGCCCCTGAGGCAGGGGAAGAGAGGACGGATGGAAGGAAGGGACAGGGGGGAAGGAGGAGGATGGAGCACGAGAGAGAGTAGCAGGAGGGGGGCTAGGAGCAGAAAGAACGTGGCAGAACCAGACGGGCAGATCGGGCGGATAGACCCTAACGGGCGGATCGGGAAGGCGGGCCCCGTCGGCCATGTCGAGCAGGCAGGTTGCTGAGGGCGCGGCGTCTGAATCAACCTTTTCGGAAGTCCCTCGCGATAGTGCGACTCTTGCATTAGTTGTGAGGACGTCCCGCGCGAGAGCGCGAATTTGGAATACACTATGAGGAGGTATCAGGCGGGAGCCGTAGTTGTTGCACTTCGGGGTCGGACAACCCAGTTTGAGCAGGAAGATTTCTTTGATAAAAACGGGGTGCGAGCACCGGTGGGGGGCACTTCAAGTGAAACACACACACACACACACAACGTGCACCAGCGATGGAGGGACGAGCAGTAAATATTCTCAATAATGAGAATTCAAGAACAACAGCCATAACATAACGATTGCTCTCTTTTATAGGCTCGTGTGCCATACGACCTGTACATCCCAAACCCTCGATATCCGCGCTTTTCGTTTTGTATCTTACTCACCTCGGGGGTATATTTTCCTACCTGCCACGTGTAGTTGGCGCAGCCCTTAAAACAGGGGAAAGGGAGGGAGGATGGAAGGTACAACGACGAGGGGAAACTGTGGAGCATGTTCGAGATTTGAAGGACGGAGGTCAGGAGCAGGAGTACATGCGGCAACCAGACGGGCGGGTCGGGAGGGCAGACCTTATCGGACGTCCGCGTCCTGGGGAGCTCCCGTTTTTCAGTGATCGGCGCTTGCCTCCATGTGAATTCGAACGGTGTGAGCCATGCCGCACGGGCTCTCGGCGTCGCAGAAGGAAGGGTCACCTCCCGCCAACGGAAGTCAGCCGCCGCAAGGCTCGGCCGGGCTCGGCCGACTCGAGGCCTCGCGGTGACCAGCGGGAAAAGAGCCCTTCCGGGAGAGATCAGCGCCAGCATCGTCTGGGTGACGTCATGGTTGCATGATGTCCCTCTTCCCCAGGCCCCACCCATCGCTGACGGGTTGTGGAGATGATGGGCTATTGCTACGCTTTCGTTTCCATGCGAACAGGGCGCCCCGCAGCTGGATGGGCCATTGCTACACTTCTCTTCTCTGCTGTCCTTTTTTGCCTTCGTGATGATGCTCGCATGTAGACGCCACGGGCTCCTCAGTGGCCTCAGGAGCCAGACCGTCGACGCACGGTAGAGAAACGATGAACAGAGCTGCATGAAGTGAGGCGCTTGGCTTCACGCGGCGCAAGGAGATCGAACTGCATGTTGTGCGTTACGCCAGTCAGGCTCGGTGGATCGAGGCACCGTGTGGATCAAAGCCAGTTGGATGCCAGCCGTGGCGACCACGGAGGTGCCCATGCTACCTGGAAGCGCTTGAGGCGGAGCCACGGCTGGCACGCCCACGCTCGTGGCGGAGGTGCGCCCGCAAGTGCAGCCGCGCATATCTGGGGGGGGGAGAGAGCCGTAGCGGGACGTCGCCGTGTTCCTGCATCCCAGCATGTGCCCTTCTTCCTCTGCAGCCTGCAGCGTGTGCGCCCTGACTGGAGCCCCAGCTTTGCACCGAACGGGGGCACGTGTTACGTTGCTGATCGATGAGTCGCGTCCTTTCCCTGTGATCCCCTCCCCTCATTCCAACGGGAAAATTGAAAGCGGCAGAGGCAGACACGAACGTCGCGCTCAAAACTAGCAGCTAACTCTTGCCTGGGCGGTCTGAGAAAAAGGGAGAGTGGCGACTGCACTGGCAGGAGTTGCTTCTGGACCGGCGGCCACGCCACCCTGGCGTGAACCCGTGCGTTAGTGATAACACGGACGCTCGATTGTGGGTCAGGGAGATTTGGTAGTGGGATCTAGCCTATCGCAGGTCTGGCTCCGCTGGCGAAAGCAACTTATGCGTTCCCAGGGAGATGTCAGCATGTTTGGTTACAGTGTCTCTGCAGGTCCACATGTGGTCGTCGTTTTGACGACTGCTTGGTGGTGGAAGCCTCTCGGTCGACCTGCGCAGAGGTCATGAGCACGTCGTGTGTGTGTGTGCGTGTGTGTGTCTGTCATGCGTGCCCGCCAGATCCGCGTGGTGGAGACGGCCGTCACCGCTGGGAATTGCGGCATCTTCGTGGCGAGAGAGGGGTGGGCTCACTTCGGCCACGTGCAGAGGTGGTTGGGTGAAGGGGAAGGTTTCTTAGTAGGAGGCTGCATCTTAGAAGGCGCGGGCCTTATCTATAGATGTAAGGCTGGCGCCTGCTGAGGAGCAGCCTCCTTCTGAGTAGCCATCCCCCTCCCCCTGAACCCATGTGCGCGCCGCCATGGCTGACTGACTCCTGACGAGGAGGAACGTGAGGAGGATAGAGCGCCGACGTTTTTCAGCGCGCTTCAGGACACGGCCTTCCTAGCAGTTGTTGAGTTCCCCCCTCATTTTGGACAAGCTGTCTTCTGAAATACTCGCCCCAATGATGAGTCGAGGCAAGGGTACAGGGACGGAGCGACTGGGGGGAGAGAGCAAGACAAGGACGACACCTACGACGCCGAGGGAGGGGGGCAGAGGGGGCAAAACAAACACTGAGATCATGGCGCCGTTTTTTGTCACATCTGGCGATTTCGCTCGATCCTGTGCCCCGGGACCCTCGCGGGCCGATCGGGCTCGAAACTGCAGCGGAAAGGTTGTGTCGAGGGCTTCGGTGAGAGCCACGGTCAACCGAAGAGGTCAGACATCAAAGACGCATGATCAAAAACAGAAAGAAAGGGGAGAAGGAGGAGGAGGAGGAGGAGGAGGAGGAGTAAGAGGAGCAAGAGCAGAATGAGGGGAGGGGGAAGAGGAGCGGGAGGAAGTGAAGGAGGAGCGTGAGCAGGATAATTGCGGAGGTCCGCGGGGGGAGCAGACATGAGAGCAGGAGCGCCGCGGATGAGGAGCCAGGTGCAGGAGGAAGGGAGGGGAGACGGAAGGGACGACAATGAGAAGCGGACGGAACAAGGTCAGGAGGAGGTGGAGGAGGAGGAAGAGGAACACGAAAAAATAGGGGACGATCGCGCAGACGGAGGAGGAGGAGTAAACAAAGCTATTCAGCTGTCAAATGTGAAGAGCAGCATGCCAAACCGCTCCAAAAATAGAGTCGCTTCGCGAAACCCCACCAGCCCATCCAGAAACGATGCCAAGGCGAGTTGCCCTGATCATGGATGTGCAGGACCATGCAGTGGAATATGTCTGGGTAAGACGTCAAAATCCCACTAGGAGAAGGAGGAGGAGGAGCAGGAGGAGGAGGAGGAGGAGGAGGAGGAGGAGGAGGGAGGAAGAATCGGAGGATGAGACGGAGGAGGAGGAGGGAGAGGGGAAGGGGGAGGAGGGAGGCGGGAGGAGGAGAAATCGGCGGATGAGGAAAACGAGGAGGAGTGGGCGGAGGAGGAGGGTGAACAGAAAGGCCAGAAGCCTCTTCGGAGTCTCTTCGCATTTCTTCGGAGAGCTCCTTGGAGTTCTCTTCGAGTTTTTGTTGGTGGTCTTGGCAGTACCGGGGGCTTCTTGGGCGTCTTGGGTGCCTCTGGGGATCATCTTGGGGCCTCTTCGGGGTCTCTTTGGAGCCTCTTGGGGGCACCCTTAGGACTCTCGGGAGCACTGCAGAGGCACCCATACGCCCCAACATTCCTTGGCGAGGAGGCCAACATCATTAAGTGTACCAAGGTTTGGGCCACACTTTAGCCTCATGTCGGGGGGAACCCAAGGTATTACGGTCCATCGTTTGATCGATCTCCTCCAAGATGCCCCAAGATGACACCCGAGGCTCGCAAGGGTGTCCCAAGACGGCCCCGAGAGGTGCCTAGCAGACCCCAAGATGGCCCCCGAGGGTCCTGAGGATGCCCCCAGGAGGCTCCCAAGAGACCCCCAAGAGGCCCTAAGAGGCTCCCCAGAGGTACCATGGGCCCGGTGAGGACCCGATGCCGAGAATGGCCAAACATGCTTTGTCTTGATTGGTTCAAGTTGTTGGGAGTCTGGGCATGGGAGGACGAGGGTGGAGGATGAGCAAGTAGAACACACAATAAAACGATTATGAGTTATGGTTGAGCATCTCGTTGTGAGGGGCACGCATTTGCAATTGCCATGCTCAGTTTTCAGGCAGGGAATCGATTTTCTAACGTGGAGTACCCCGGGAAGTGTCAACCTTTTTGACTTCGCCATATCAACGCACTGCAAGCTGAAACCTACGTTGCTTGACCTTCATGGGCGAAATTTGCCTGAAAGCCGTGACCCCGTCATCTTGCTGCCTTTTTCAAGCCGTGTCAATTTGTGGTGTCCCCGGGGCCCAAAGCCAGGCGAAAACGCCCAGTGTGCAAAAAGGCAACGCCAGAAGGAAACGGAGGAGGAGAAAGGTAAGGTTAAGCGCGTTGCGGGCGAGTTCAGGCGGCGGCACCCATACGGCGTGCCACGCTAGATGCGAGCGCCTCTGCTGGATGTATGGATGCACGGCCAGGCAGCCGACTGCATTGGGAGGAGGAAAAGGAGGAGGAGGAGGAGGAAGAGGAGCACCAGGTAAACCCAAGGTCATCAAAGATGTTGCAATAACCCTTCCCTCACATTGTCCTGTGCACAGGCCCCTACAACGACGTAAGCTCATTGCGGGAAGTGCCTCGTTGGTGCACAACCGTCAGAAGATCTGCAAACATGTCCAAGCACCATTCTTTGGACTTCGTGCCAGCAGAACACCATCCCTGGGACTTTCACACCGTCAATCGACCTGATCGGATTGTCCTACGCAACAATCTTCGGTATTGCAGAGACGCCGCTTCTGGGACGTCAGCGATAATTAGGTTTGTCACCCCTGTAAACTGATAGGATGAATATGCGCGGCGCGAATGCGAAAACCACTTTTGATAAGGAACCGCCCTCCATCCGCAAAGCTCTTGCAAACTGTTTCAACGAATGTGCGCGGCGCGAAAGGGAGAGCCACGTTTTGAAAATGACCCGCCGTCCACCCGTGAAACTCTTGCATCAATTTTAGACGAATGTGCGCGGCGCTGCGGCCAGAACCACATTTTGAACACGGCCCGCTACCATCCATGAGTATATTACAGAAGTTGTCCAATAATGCTTGAGGCGCTGAGGCGAGAGCCACATTTTGAAAGCGTCCTGCCCTCCATCCGTGAAGCGGTTCAAGTTTTCAGCTTGACGACGGTAAGTGGTGCGGACGTCTCAGGCGAAGCATCCGTCCCGCACGACCGAACCGTCTCTAGGTGAGACGGAGGAGGGAGGAGGAGGAGGAGCTCGCGGCGGTTCAGGAGGGGGGAGGAGGAGGAGGAGCTCGAGGGAGGAGGAGGAGGGAGGAGGAGGAGGAGCTCGAGGGAGGAGGAGGAGGGTGAGACGGTGGAGGAGCTCGCGGCGGTTCAGCGAGGCCCACGGCTGCAGAACGCCGTCGTTGCGCAGCAGGGCGGCGCTGCGCGGGCGGGGGCGGCGGCGAGGGCCATCGCCAGAACGAGCTCGGTCACTCCTTCACCACCGCGGCTGCGCGAAAGATCGTGCGCGACGCCAAGGTAAAGCTTTGCTACATCCTGTTTAACTTCGGCACCGAGAGGAAGGCCGCCACGGAGAGCTCCGACAAGAAGAAGACGTACGAGCTCCCTGGCCGGAACATAACCGTGGGCAGCGAGCGTTTTCATTGCCTCACGGGTGGTCTCCCATCCCAGCTTCGTGGGAGCCAGCTGCATCCACGACGCCACGTTCCAGTCGATCATGAAGTGTGATGCCGACATCCACAAGGACCTGTACGCCAACGTGAAATGGTCTAGTGGCACCACAATGTCCCGAGGCATCTGCGAGCGCATGACCAAGGAATTGACGGCACTGGCTCCTGCCACGATGAGCATCAAGGTCGTGGCTCCGCCTGAGCGCAAGCATTCAGTGTGGATCGGTGGACCGATCCTTCCCTCGAAGAGTAACTCCAAGCAGATGTGGATCCCCAAGGGGGGGGTACGACGAGCCGGGCCCCACCAATGTGTTCAGGAAGTGCCTCTGCGGGTTTGCCCTCAGCAGATTTGGGGAGCCAGGCAAGCTAGACTCGTCCGACGTGTTGGGTGGAGGTTGCGAGCTTGCCTCACGCCCCACTGTGCACAGCTGGCGCTGGCAGTGATAACTCGCAGTGGCCGCGTTGGCGTTCTGAAGTGCGTCAAGGCAGCTGTTTGTGGTTCTGGCATATACGGCTGTGTTGCTAGATTCGCATGCGCAGGCTTTTTCTTTTGCTCACAGGCCCTCCCTGTCACAGTCAACTTGGCGAGGCCACCACCTGGAAGGTTGTGCACAGCATGTCGCTGCCGGCTTCTGCAGTACAGTTCACATACTTCTTTGTCAGACTTCACTTGTCTCGCCCCTGCCGCTTCCCCTGCTTCCTGCTTCCTCCAGCCCGTCCTTCCCTGTCTTCCCCTTTCTGTTTGCGTGTTCTGTTGACGTCCTCGATGGGCTGCCGCCGTGCTGGCCCACGCAGACGAGTCTGCGCCAGCCTGCCCCAGCCGCGGCGTGCCTGCGGCGTCTCAGGGGGAATTCGTTTCGGCCTCCCCCCCCCTCCCCCCTCCCCTTCTGCCCCGCCTCCCCCCTCCTCCGTGTGGTTGCGGGGCGAGGCGTTCGGCCTTTGGGGGCGGCTACCGCGCCAGAGCTCTGGCGCCGTCCCGTTTGAGCAAGTCTTTCGTGGTGGCACATCGGTCGCGCCAGCTTCGGCGGCCAGCCACTCTCTCCCACTTTTGATTTGCACTGGATCCGCGGGGCTTCATACTCATTCGAAGCCTCACCCTGTTACTCAGGGTTTTAGGCTTCAACTATACACCGCCGCCTGGAGCAGAATTTGTCTTGGTGCCCTGCTTTCCTCCTCCCTCTCCTCTCCCTCTTCGGCCTTCCTTCTCCTTTCGCAGAATTGTTCACTGCGCCCCACCGTGTGGCTGAGGTCCGTGGCCGTGGTGAATCTCGGCTTCCGCCCGCCCTGCCCGCCCTGCCGGAGCGGCTTGTGAAATTTGTGTCGTTTCCCTCTTGGTGTGTGCCGTGTTGTGCTTCTACAGCTCGTTTCTACTGCCAGCCGGCGTTCGGCCGCATTCGGCATCTCGTTTCTTTCTCCTTGTTCCCCTCCCTTGCGCTCTCTCCTTCTCGCTCCTTCTCTCGCCTCGCATGTGGCACGCTCGCTCATCATTCAGGCCACTGTTCAGCGCATGTGCTTGCTTGTCGCAAGTCGGATTCCCGCAGCGGTCGAGGCCGAGCCGGGTGAAGCTTTGTCATCGCGCTGTCTGCTTCTCGACAAAAGAACGACGAGGAGGAGGAGGACGAGGAGGAGGAGGAGGAGGAGGAGGGGGAAGGAGGAGGCTCGCTCCGCGCAGAGGGGAGGAGACGCTCGGCGGCAAGGAGCAGTTCGCGTTCCTGTCCACGCAGGACTGGCCCCCGCCGCTCTCGCGCGCCGTGCCTGCTCGTCCCATGCCCGGCTGAGCTCTGAGCTGGTTCCTTTTCGATGTGTGTTGCTTTGCCTCGGCTTGCCCCGCCCTCAGTCTGAGCTGAAGTGTTTTGCCCGGCTTGGAACGAAGTCGAATTCGGAGGAAAAGGTGCCGACATCCTGGTACGTTTCTTGTTTCCGCCTTCTTGGGCCTCCCGGTGTGCCCTCGTCGCCATGGCTGGATTTGTTTCGAAGTTCTGGTCATAACGCACAGCGGGAGAGGCCAGGGAGTCGCCGTATCGGTATATTTTGAAACCGCCCAGTGCTCTCTGTCTTTCGGCTCTCTCTTCCTTCGGCCCTCCTCCTTCGGCTCTCCCCCGTCGACCCTCCTCATCTTCCTCCTCCTCCTCCTCCTTCGACTCTCGTCCTATCGCTCTCCCTCGAGTCTCTTTGGGTGCGCGGGAGCAGCAGGAGAGACAGAGAGAGAGAGAGAGCAGGCCGCGCTCCCCGCGAAGGGGGGGGGATGGGGAGGATGTGCGCTTTTCCCTACCATCCTGTGGTGCTGGGTTCTCGTTTTGAACAGACGGTCCCCGCGTTCCTCCTCTCTCCTCCTCCTCACCCTCCTCGTCCTCCTCCTCATCTTCCTCCTCCTCCTCCTCCTTCGTCCTCCTCCTCCTCCTCCTCCCTCCTCCTCCTCCTCCTCCTCCTCCTCCTGCTTCTCCTCCTCCTCCTCCTCCTCCTCCTGCTCCTCCTCCTCCCCCCTCCCGTCACCCCCCTCTCTTTGGCACGCCCCTCACAGGTGTCGTGGCCCCATAGGGAGTTTTCACCGAAGGCCCCAGTGGGAGTGCCCGCATGCGTCCGCCACGCCCAGTGCAGCGCTTCTTGGCCCCATAGGGAGCTCCACCGAAGGCCCCAGTCGGGGTGCCCGCATGCGTCCGCCACACCCGGTACAGCGCTTTAGGGAGCTCCACCGAAGGCCCCAGTGGGGGTGCCCGTATGCGTCCGCCACGCCCGGTACAGCGCTTCGTGGCCCCATATGAGGGCGCCACCCAAGGCCCCAATGGGGGTGCCCTCATGCGTCCCCCCCACCCAGTACAGTGTTTCGTGGCCCCATTTGGGGGCTCCACCGAAGGCCCAAGTGGTACAGTTCACATGCGTTTCCACAACCCATGACAGTGCGTCGTGGCCCCACAGGGAACTGCATTGAAGGCCCCAGTGGGGCCACCCGCATGCTCCCCCCCACCCATCACGGCATGCCCCATCACGCGTTGCGTGGCCTACCGGAAGCGGCACCCACAAAGCGTTACTCATAATTTCATGTGGTTGGGTCTTTCGCCCGGATATTTTTTCGACCAGCCAAGCAGAGGAGAAGGATAAGTCCGCTACCCTTCAATGGGGGTTATCCCGGACGCACAGTGCGAGCGAGTCTGACCGCAAGGCGAAGCACGCTAAAATTTGCCATAACCCCAGACTCGGGGACTTCTTGGATCAGGAAAGTCGATTGCGGCTGATGCGAACGGGGAGAAGTTGCGTCATTATTTCGCCGATCGGCGCCGACCTGCGGACGAGCCCGACCAGCCCCGAGATCCTGGCGTCGCAATGTCTGCACACACCCGGCGGCTTCCCCATCTTGCGGGCCCGGGGGCCCTCTCAGATCGATTCGGCGAAATGCCGCAGAACGATCGGGAATTGGGCTCCCAGACATGCGATGTCCTGAATCTTTGAAGTCACGGTCCCCCGAAATTCTGAGCTTCTCCCTAGGACCAGGTTTTCAACCCGAACAATTTGTTGGTTTTGTGGCCCAGCGAGGGCCCCCACTGTTCGAAAACAACGAAAACTTAGTGTTGTTTCCCCAAAATCATCCTGTGGTGATGGTTCCTCGTTTTGAAGAGACGGTCCCGCGTTCCTCCTCTCTCCTTCTCTCTCCTCCTCGTCCCCCGCCTCCTCCCCCTACTCCCTCTGCCTCGCGTTTCTCCCACCCAGTACAGCGTGTCGTGGCCCAACAAGGAGCTCCACCGAAAGCCCCAATTGGGGGTGTCCGCATGCATCCGCCACACCCAGTGCGGCGCTTCGTGGCCCCATAGGGAGCCCCACCGAAGGCCCCGATGGTGGTGCTCGTAGCGTCCGCCACACCCAGTACAGCGCACCGTGGCCCCATATGGAACTCCACCGAAGGCCTCAGTGGGGGTGCCCACATGCGCCCGCCACACCCAATACAGTGTTCCGTGGCCCCATATGGAACTCCACCGAAGGCCTCAGTGGGGGTGCTCACATGCGCCCGCCACACCCAGCACAGCGTTTCGTGGCCTTTCGCCCGCCACACCCAGTATAACGCATCGTGGCCCCATAGGGAACTCCACCGAACGCCACAGTGGAGGGGCCCGCACGCATCCGCCACACCCAGTACAACGCTTCGTGGCCCCATAGGGAGCTCCACCGAAATCCCCAGTGGGGGTGCCCGCGTGCGCCCGCCACATACAGTTCAGCGTTTCGTGGCCCGGTGGGGAGCTTCACCGAACGCCCCAGTGGGTGTGCCCGCATGCGTCCGCCACACCCACTACAATTTTTCCTTGCCCTATAGGAGGCTCCACCGAAGTCCCCAGCGGGACCGCCCGCATGCGTCCGCCACACCCAATACAGCGTTTTGTGGCCCGAGAGGGAGCTCCACCGAACGATCCAGACCGCGACGTCGAGGCCGATGGCAACGACACGTGGTTGTTCAGCGCATGGCGAGAAGACCTGGGCGAAGCTGAGCACGATATCCTCCTTGTCGACAGCGCTTGCGGAGAGAATGTCTGTCCATGGGACCCCGCGACCAATGGAGTGGATCTTGGACTTGGGGGCGTTCGGCTGCAAGGAGCCAGCGGGGGCAATCTCGCTTCAAGTCACGAGAGCATGGTTCTGCGCTCTGTGCTGGATATGAGCGCCAACGCGGTCATCAACGCGAAGACCCCATATCGTACAGAGCGGCGCGAAGCGTTCCCTACTCAGCGTGGGCAAGCTCGCGAGGAACGGTATCACCCTGTACTTCAAGAGTGACGACCCATGGCTCGGGGTCGACACCGACCGCGGTAGGGTGAACTTGCCAGTGCACATGGAAGGACGCAAGCTTGGGCTAATAATCGTGATAAGCAAGTCACCCAGCAAGGAGACGGCGATGATCGCGCCAACCGAAGACGAGGCGACGCAGGACGTGCCAGAAAGTAAACGATTCCAACGGGGAGCTCAGCAGCTCGTGGAACATGGCTAGAGGTACGACAGCATGGAGAGCGAGTCGGACGTGGAGGTTTCTCCAGCGGCAGCGGCGTCGACAACGCGAGGAACAGGCTGAAGGAGCTCGAGGCCCCGATCTGGGGAAACAATCAGCAACGATTGGGGGGCGCGGTCTACGCCGAGGCGAAGCTCGAGTTGAAGATGGGGGGTGAGCAGCGGCCCGAGAAACGCGCGGGGGAGCTGGCAGGGGCAGGGGGTCAGGGCGAGGTCGCCCCCAGGGCTCCAACGGAGCCGACGAAAGAAGAACGAGGGCGCAGTGAGATCGCGCGCCTACCCTACCAGCCGCGGCGCGCGCGGTGCGCGAGGGGCAAAGGCAGGGCCAAGCCGCGCGCGCGGAGGCCCGAGAAGCCAAAAAGGCCGCCAGAGTTGGAGATAGACCTGCGCTTCCTGCAGCAGGACCCGATGAGGCGACGCCATGCTGGAGGCCAGGCACGGGATACCGCGCTGGCGCTAGTGGGCGCGAGCGCGCAGAGCCCCGCGGCCATGGCAGTGCCGACGAAGTCCGACGAGACTAACCTCACCTGAGCAATGTGCTCATCATTCGTCAAGCGGACGGCGTGCCAGAAGTCTATCTTCAGGCAGGCCAAGGGAGCGATTGCGGAGAAGATCGCACAGAGGTTCCTGATGGGCGGCATCGATCTGGATATCCAGAAGATGCCGAGGCTCAGCGTCCAAAGCGTCGGAGCAGCGCGGCGAGCCCAGCAGCCAGCGGGGGGCCAGGTCAGGGCGGCGAGGCTCGACGTGGAGGTGGGGATGGGCCGCGAGACCAGCCCCTCCTCGGACACCCGGCCGTGGATGGTGGAGCGCGCTGGCTGGGCGGTCGAGCGCCGCCGCGCGAACGCGAGCTGCAGGGCAGCCCGCGAGGGCAGCTTCGGCAATGGGCGCCAGGGCGAGGTTCTGAAGGCAGGCGAGCCTGCGCTTTTCAAGCCGGCCGTCGCCCGGGCGGGGCGAGCCCGAGGAGGAGTTCGGCAAGGGCGCGCAGATGCCAAGACTCGCGAGTGGGATTGATTGGTTAGGCAGGGCGACCGAGTCAGACGAGCGCCCGCTCGGGGCCGACGAGGGCGCGTTCGCGACCAGGGCGGCGAGGAGAGCGCCGACAACGGACCAGGTCAAGACCAATTTGGCGGGGGCGCGCACGCCGTGGGACAGGTTCGCTGGGAAGCCGATAGGAAGACCAGGAAAAATAAGCAAGGCGCCCATCGCGATGCCAGTTCCGACGGCATTGCCGCCGCCAGAGCCAGGTGAGCAGCAGCGGAGGCGAAGCAGCTCCTGAGGCTGCAGCGCAAGCAGCGCCACCAGTGGCACAACCGCAGCAACCAGCTGCAGCGGCAGCAGATCCGAGAGCGCAGTCACCGATGCGAAAAGGCGGCTGAACTGAGAGTCCCAGACGAGGGCGACAGGAGGACAGGATGCAAGAGGTCACGATGGTGGCCGAGCTGGCCACCTTGAAGGCAGAGCACGAGGCCGACTTCGACGATCAGGGTTGCCGCGACCTAGAAGACGGCAGGGGCCAAGGCGCGGGGCCCGACGTGGCGAAGGCCATCCTGAGGGGCAAGGAACAAATGCGATGAATGGGGTTTTGGATCTTCGAGCCAATCTAGCATTCCATCCAGAACGCTCACATCTTACCGACCAGGTGGTAGAACGTGCCATGAGGACTTGACGAGCGCAGGCGCAGGTGCGTGGCGCGAGAGTTAAGAAGCAAAGACCCAGAATTAGAAGGGCTGTTCACGGCTTGGGACGCCAGCAGCACGGGCAGGCTCATAGAGCAGCACGCGGCCCGACACGATTACAACACCATTGTCTTGGACGCCCAGAACGCGCACTTCCATGCTGAGGAGGACGAAGAGCCCCGCATGGACCCGCTGGTGGAGAGCACCATGCGCTACCACGCGAGAGGCGGGGGGATCGCGAGGCCGCGATGGAAGACGAAGAGGCGGCTCTACGGCAAGCGCAGGGCATCGGAGAAGTTCAACATGCACGCCGTGGACTAGGCGAAGAGGGGGCCGAGCAGTGCCATGAGCAGCCGAGCATCTTCAGGAGGCCAGGGGCGACGACTTTGTTCGGGGTGCATCAGGGCGGCACCAACGCGTTAGGGACCGACCCAAAGCTGAACTGGCTCAAGGACAACCTGGCGCCAGTGTTCAAGCTGAGCGAGTCGATCATCATGAAGATCGGATCGGCGCGCTCATGCCTAAAGGGAGGGCGGCGTGGGCGACGGTCAGCAAAGACGCGACTCACGTCGCCCCGAGAAGGAAGTGCATCGGGGACATCTTGAGGGAGCTCGGGTCGACAGGCTGCCAGAAAATGCGGGTCCCGATGGTGCAGGCGAGGAGGGAAGAGGGCCTCGAGGCGCCATTCGCGAGTCCGACCGACAAGAACTCATGGAACAATTTCGTGGACATCCCCAGACACCTGCTGAAGTACAGGCCCGACATCTCAGTTGCGGCTGTGTTGAGCAATTTACCCGGCGGCCCAAAGGGCCCAGACATGCAAAGGCCCTGCAGGCTCGCGCGTTGTCAGAAGGGCACGGCCTACTACGGCATCCGGATTACCAAGACCGACGACACCGAGTTCCTGCACGCGCGTTCGGACGCCGACTGGGCTGGCGACGTCAACTACAGACAGAGCACATCCGGCTGCCCATCCAAGTTCGTCAGAGCGGGCCTGAGGGAGTTCGCGACAGGCCAGAGTTGCCGAGCACTTTCGAGTGGTGAAAGTGAGTGCTGCCCTGATGTGACGACGGTCGCGGAAGGCACCCACATGCAGAAGTTGTTGGATTTCGTGGGTTTCCCAGTGGAGATCAAGTTCCGGCTGGATTTGACGGCGGCTCGTGGGATCATCCAGCCGACAGGGCGCGGCGCCCTGAAACCCATCGAAACGAAGCTGCTGTGAACTCAGGCAACAAATAAGGAGAAACGCGCGAAGGATCACGAGGGGCCGACGGCGACCAACGCGGCACACGGATACACCAAGGCGTTCCAGCCAGCGAAATTCCCAGAGTGGAGAGCGAGGCTCGGCACGGGCTCCGACGGCGGCGACGAGCTCGAGACATGCAGGCAGGAAACGCTCCACAGCGACAGTGGGCAGTGGGCTTCGCGCGGCAAGAAGGAGCAAGAGTGCCGTTGGCGGCAGCAGCAAATAATGCTTCGCAAGGCGAAGGCAGAGTGCCCAATGGCGACGGCCGACGGCGACTCGACGCAGCTGCAGACGATCCAGGAGTGCGCCCCGACGTCTTGCATCACGCCGCGCGCGATGACGATGGCGATGCTCCTGATGGCAGTCGGGGGTCGAACGGTTGGGTGCTGGCTGGGCGACAAGATCAAGACCATGATCGACCAAGTTGGTGGAGGTTCCCCCGAGGCCGCCGGGGAGCCTACGAGACCGACGCGGAGGAAGGGGAATGCACCGCGGACGAGGTCATTTCGCACACCATCGATGGCAGTGCGCGTCAGAGAGACAGCAGCCGAGGTTCATTCCCACACCAGCAGGCTGCGAAGGAGCTTGGACGGAGGATCTCGAGCTCGACGACGTGAGAGATGCGAAGAAGCCATGATGGCCCCGGTTCGGTTCGGTTCGGTCCGGTTCGGCGCGCCTTCGTGTCGGTGCGGCCGGTCTGGTTCAGATCGCCGTCCAGTTCGGTCCATCCGGTCCGGTTCGAGTATTGGCCGGTCCGGTTCGGCCTGTCCGGTTCGGTCGCTCGGTTCGGCCGGTTCGGCCCGGATCGGCCGGTTCGGTTCGGCCGAGGGTTTCCGGTTCGGCCGGTTCCAAGACACCCCCGAATTCTTGGACATGAGGCGACGACGACGACGACGTCGACGACGTCGACGTCGACGACGACGTGCAGAGTGGGGAGCGGGAGCGGCAGAGTGTGAGAGAGGGAGGAGAGAGGGAGGAGAGAGGAAGGAGGGACGAAGGGGGGAGGAGGGACGACGGAGGAGGGCCGACGGAGGGAGGGACGAGGGAGGGAGGGGGCTGCAGCAGGAACGGAGGAAGCGGCAGAGGGAGGGACGAGGGAGCGGGAGCGGCCCTCCGATCCCCGGCGTCCTGAGGGGGGGTCAGGTCCCCCGTCGTCCTGAGAGGAGGGGTTCAGGTCCCGCCCTGAGGGGGGGGCAGGTCCTGAGGGGGAGCGCCGTCCGTCCTGAGGGGGGGTCAGGTCCCGCCCTGAGGGGGGGGGCAGGTCCTGAGAGGGGGGTCAGGTCCCGAGGGGGGGGTCAGGTCCTGAGAGGGGGGTCAGGTCCCGAGAGGGGGGGGTCAGGTCCCGAGAGGGGGTCAGGTCCTGAGGGGGGGGTCAGGTCCAGGGGGTCAGGTCCGAGGGGGGGTCAGGTCCGAGGGGGGTCCCGAGGGGGGTCAGGTCCGAGGGGGGGGTCAGGTTCCGAGGGGGGGTCAGGTCAGGGGGGTCCCGAGGGGGGTCAGGTCAGGTCCCGAGGGGGGGGGTCAGGTCCCGAGGGGGGGGTCAGGTCCCGAGGGGGGGGGGGGTCCCGAGGGGGGAGGTCCCGAGGGGGGGGTCAGGTCCCGAGGGGGGGGGGGGTCAGGTCCCGAGGGGGGGGTCAGGTCCCGAGGGGGGGGTCAGGTGGGGGTCAGGTCCCGAGGGGGGGGGTCAGGTCCCGAGGGGGGGGGTCAGGTCCCGAGGGGGGGGGTCAGGTCCCGAGGGGGGGGGTCAGGTCCCGAGGGGGGGGGGTCGAGGTCCCGAGGGGGGGGGTCAGGTCCCGAGGGGGGGGGTCAGGTCCTGCGGCCCGCGGCGCCGCACGTCCTGAGGGGGGGTCAGGTCCCGCGGCGCCGTCCGTCCTGAGAGGGGGGTCAGGTCCCGCGGCGCCGTCGCTTTCCGTCCTGAGGGGTGGTCAGGTCCCGTCGGGGGGGTTCAGGTCCCGTCGTGACAGGTCCCGCGCAGGGCCACGACATGCGCGCGACATGCGCGTTAAGGGCCCTTTCGGGGCCCTCTGGGAGCGTTCCTGGGCCTCCCAGGCGGGCCCCGCAAGGCCCCAAGAGGGCCCAGGAGGGCTCCGAGAGAGCCCCAAAAAGGACCCAAGGGCGCATGTCGTGCGCATGTCGTCGTCGTCCTGGGCCCAAGGGCCACGACATGCGCACGACATGCGCGTTAAGGGCCCTCTCGGGGCTCGCTGCAGGGGGCGCTCCTGGGCCTCCCAGGCGGGCCCCGCAAGGCTCCAAGAGGGCCCTGAGGGGGGTCAGGTCCTGAGGGGGGTCAGGTCCCCCCCCCGCCCCCGCCGCGTCCTGAGGGGGGGTCAGGTCACCTCCGATTCCCGCCGTCCTGAGGGGGGGTCAGGTCCCCCCGCCCCTCCAGCCCCGAGGGGGGGTCCGGTTCGGCCGGTTCGGTTCGTCGGGCCGGTTCGGTCTGGCCGGTTCGGGTCCTGAGGCTGGCGCGGTCCGGTTCGGCCGGTTCGGGTCGAGGACCGGTCCGGTTCGGCTGGTTCGGTTCGGGGGCCGGTTCTCGGTTCTTGGTTCGGTTCGCGGCCATCATGAGAAGCTCAGATGAGAAGGCTTGAGCGGCTGCGGACAGTGGCCGAGTTTAGCAGCGTGAATTTGACCACGGAAAGTCGGCGGAAGCTCCGCGGGAACAGGTTTTGTTCCACTGGCTGCCGGCGTACAGGCGGCCAAGTTTCACCGAGGTGGACGGAACACATTTCGGCGCGACCTCAGCTCGCTACAGTGTGCCGAGGGGGCGCGTTGGTGGTTTATATGACATGGTGAGGTTAGGCGAGGTGTAGGTGGATAGGCTGCGGGAGAGAGGTGCCCATAGCCTTCGGCACAGAGGATAGGTTTGAGAAACTCATAACCATAACTCATAATCCGCTTCCACTGTAGATCACAACGCAATCAGGTATTTTCGGCTTGGCCCCGCATGCCTCCCCCCTTATTTTCGACTCCTTACTTTACTCGCTTGTCCTTGCGTGAAGCACCTTGCAACACAATGAGGACGACGACGAGGGGTGGAGAACGAGGAGGGGGGGAGGAGTCGGAAACGGAGGAAAGAAACGAGAGAACGTAACCATACCACATTCTTTTCTCAGCGACCCCCTGCTCTGCGCTTGGCGATCCTTGCATATCCATAGCATGGCGCGCGTCCTGCAATTGCAGATTCCGATGAGTATCTGCTATTTGAGTTTTCTTCGGTGTTCCCGAGTGTGGCGCTTTAGACGGGGGGGGGGCGTGGCAGGTGACGGCCGTTGCTTCGAACAATTGATCAAAACGCTTCCCAGCGACTTCCACCTTGTATCATCCCGAGTTTGTCTTCCTCGTTGCGTCGTCTTGATTTTGTCTCCCCCCCCCTCGCCCTCCCCTCCCCTGTCGAGGAGTTGTGGGCCGACGAAGGGGACACTACCCCGAAGTTCAGCATCATGAGGCCCGCCCCCCCCGGCGCGTCGCGGCGGGAGGAGGGGAGAGTGGGGAGGCGTGTCCCGTGTCTTTTCGCATCATCCTCTCCCTCCTCCTTTCGTTGTCGTTGTTCTGCTGCTGCTGTTTTTACGTCTGCGCCGCTTCCCCGTCCACATGTGCGCGCTCCCGCGCACGCGGTATCGTGCAGGGGTGGTGAGGGGAGGAGGCACGGAGGGAAGGCACGAAATGGTCTGCCATACGTCGTGATGCGCGTCGGCGCTGAGTGCAAATGCGCTCGAGTCGAACGAGCACGCGCAAATTGCCGACTGGTAAGCAATCGCACCCCAGCTTCGTCGCAGACCCTCAGTGCGTGAGGGTGCTGTGTGTGTGTTGGCCCACTCCAGCCCGGGACCGTCAATCTTGCAAACGTGCATGGCGTTGATTAGCGTCAAGGACCCGAGGTAGAGCACAGCGTTACCTAGGGGTGCTGATCACTTCTTGGAGCGGCTTTGAACCACATATACGCGTTCAGCAACATATCGGTGATGATGTCGTGCTGTGTTTTCTGGTGGACCTTGTCATTTGAGACGTGAGTGGTTATATCATGCTTGATTACCTTGTAGACCTGAGCGAGCCTAGCACGAGCCGCTGATCCGCAGCACTGTCCAGTCAAAGAGCAAAACGTACATGCAACAACTCCCCCGCCACTACCTCGCCCGCCCGCTTGAACGTCGAGATTCGCAAGAGCCTGCCACATGATACGTGCCCGAGAGACAGGAAGGATGACACAGTAGGCGCATCAACAAACATACGGCCTGCCCGCAAGTGCCTCACGGAATGTTTTTATTTCTCGATGACCTTGGGCGCCAAACGGAGTCGAATGCAGATGGGACGTGTGCCTGCAGACTTCTTAGATCGCTCAGCACCGGGGAAGGCAGGGCGATTCGGAGCCAGACCCCCAGCGTTGTGTTTTTTTTTCGCGACGGTGACCCCCGGATGTCTCGACCCGTTCACCGGGAACGTTTCCCCCCACGAGGTATTTTTGTTTGACGGCCCCTGGGCCGGGCGAGGACCCCCGGAGGCCGAAGATAGCAAGAGAGCAAGAAGCCGTCCGCCTTGTTCTTGTTCGCGACGCGAGGGGGTCTGGGGTCCTTGCAGATGGGGTACAGCAAGCACATTGCGGTGCGGGTGCCCGTTGATCAAAGAATGTGTCCAGGAGGCTCCAGACCTCGGAGGATGCCTTATCTGATGAGGGCGGCCGTGATGTCCATGGCCAATCCACGATTGGAGTTCCACCGGCTTCCAGACCCTGGACTCCTTTCGGGCGTTGGGTAGTGGGGGGGGGGCGCATTAAATAAGGGGAGGGGGGGGGGGGGGCACTTTTTGCGCCCGAGAGGGGCCCCAGAAGGGCCCCCTTGGGGCCCAAAAGGGGCACGAAAGTCTAGTTATCGCCCCTCATTGAGCCACGCCCGATCCTTACCCAATGGTTCCTCATGGAATGCTCTCACGGTATTTGATTTCGTAATTTGCTCTGGAGAGGGGCGCCGCCCGCCGACGAGACACATCCTGAGGCGACCCGCGGAGCGAGGCGACGCGCTACCCGCTCGCACGGCGTAGCAAGAGTTCCCGGCCGTGCCTGATTTCGTACTGAGCTTCTCCTTCTCCTCCGCCTCCTCCCTCCTCCCTCCTCCCTCCCTCCTACTCCTCCTCCTCCTCCCTCCGCCTGAACTGTCCTGTGCCCGAGCTTTGGGCATTGCACACGCCAACTTCAAAACATAATTTTGTGTGTGTGTGCGAGCCAGTTTTGGCTTCGGCAACTTTCCGACACAGCTCGCATGGCCAGGGATGGAGCCTGGCAGTCTCGTAGCAATGGCGGCGGCGCTTGGCGGACCCAGGCGCCCCGGCGGGCAGGCGCCGCGGCTCGCACCCCCCCCAGGCAGTGGGGTGGAGGCAGCAGCGGCCATTGGCCTTCGGACCGCCAGGACTCAGGGTCGTGGTCGGGCCGCCGCTGGCGCTGCCAGAGCTGCGGGTGCAAGAAGAACCTGGACGGCTGGATCAGCTCCAAACACTGCGGGACCGTCAGGCATGGCTCCGAGGTCTACCATGAGATGTTCGATTTTGGGTCAGGCATTCAGTGGCCATCGCTTCCCTACAAGCCTGGCCCCCCACCTGCTCTGCTTGCTCCTGGTGGTGTTGCGGGCAATGGGGCTGGCCCAGGTGCGACCCCGTTTTTGTCAGCTGACGAGTTGCGGACCTTCATTAGCTTGTGCGAGAAGAGCGGTGACACTGAGGCCGCGTCCAAGCACAAGGCGGCTCTTGAGAAACTCCTCCGCAGTTCGACTCCAGCACCCGTCCAACAGCGAGCTGCGAAGGCTCGCGACAATATGCAGTACTGGGAGCGGAAGTTATCCACCGAGCGTGTCAAGCTGGCCAAGTTGGAGCAGCAGGTGGAGGCTCAGCAGTCGGCCACCGCCGCTGCCCAGGCAGCCTTGCGCGAAGCTGACGGCCACTACAAGGACCTGGTCAAGAAGCTGGCTGGCAACATGGTCGAGCCTGTCCCTGTGCAACAACTGACCTGTACTACGCCTCAGGAACAACATTCTGTATGAGGTCGCCGTTGTGGTTGCTCCTGCTGTTCGCCGCTTTCGCTGGAGTCCGCCATGTAGGCGTTGTCCAGAAACTCTAGGCCGCTCATGGTCTCGTTGCTGGGGTCCAGGAACTGCGCTTCATCGACGGGCTCGTACTCGAAGTCGTTCGTTTGGTGATTCGTCTTCCCGTCCAGCTCCTCTAGTAGGTCCACCGTGTAGTGTCCTTGAGGTGATAGCGTTGCAGCCTCGGACTCGCCGCCGTTCCACGCAACTGTCTGCTTGGCGCAGTCGACCTGAACTCCGAACACTTCCAGCAACGACCTCGGAAAGAGGATGGGTGCACGTCCCGGTACCACGTAAATGTAGAGTATGCCTGACTTCTGCTTGAAGCTGGCAGGTATTGTGCCACGCCACTGCGCCGCTGCGCACATTCGATCTTGCCGTTGCCGAACCGAAAAGGCCGTCGCCACTTGTAGAACCCGAGGTCCTCGATGAGATAACCTTTCTGCCTGCAGTCCCTCGCGTAGTCCTTGATCGTCTCTGAGCCGGACATGAGGGTCGTCGCTCCACAGTCCATGACTCCGTTGCTTGCTGGCATTGCGCTGGGGTTGGCCTTGCTATGACACTTGTCGTCCCAGTGGGCATCATCGACCGTCAAGCTGTCGTCGGTGTGGACCCGCTTCTTGTTGGGTGGTTCGGTGCAGTCCCTAGCCCAGTGGCCGGGCTTGCCGCATCGTAGGCAGTTGGCCGATGGTATTGATGTTGGTACTGGTTTCGTAGCTGCCCTTGCTCTTCTCATTAGGTCCGACGCCGTAGGTCGTGGTCTGCTGTATGCGCCTGGAGGGGGTGATCCTTTTGGGCTGCCCTTTCTTCCCTTGGACTTGCCGTGCCCCTATGTACCTTCATTGCATGACCGGCCTCGTCCGTGTGAACCTCCTGCTGATGCTGTGGCCGAGCCTGAGCTTCCACCTACCATCACCACTGCCGGGTAGAAACCGTGTGCTAGCTTCAGGTCGGTGAACCGCTTCCTGGCGTCCACGTAGGCCGCGTAAATTTCGTCGTGTTTGCCTGGGTCGAGCTCTTGCGCTGCGTTGGGGTCGCGCTGGTAGTTGCTCTCGTCGCAGTCGTACCATTTCTCGTCGTCCTCCACCCAGTGCGTCTGGTCGTAGTCGTCTGGCTCGTCCTCCGGCTCGCCAGTATTGAACTCGTCATGATAGTTGTGCCCTCGTCGACGAAATATTGTTTCCGTGCGTGATTCGGCTCGTGCGTGATGCTCTCCTGCCCGAACGTTGTCTCCAACGCCTCAATATCCTTATCCTGTGCGATACCCTTGCCATCTGATCTACCGACATGATGACCGCCTGCTGGTCCGCGCTGTATCTTCCCCGTCGTAGCGCGAGCCAGCCTCGGACCTTCGCCGGTAGCTCGATGTCGCGCGTCCTGAGCTTGCGCTCTGCAGCGCGCACTCTTGAGATGTAGGCGAACAGCGTCTCGCCCTTGTACCGCTTGAGTTTGAAGAAGTACTCCTCAAAGTCGTCCGCGAGCTCCGTCCTGCCGTCCATCTTGAAACGACTCCGTAATATGGCCATGAGCTGCTTCGCCGCGTTGGGCTCGATGAGCTCGTCTGCTGAGAGATCCTCCACTTCGTCCCAAACTTCGCCTGCGAGACCTGCGCTGAGCATGGGAGCCGCTTCGCCCTCCGTCTTCTCCAGCGTGAGCTTCGCTATGAAAACCATCGCCCGCTTCTCGTATTCTCTCCATTTGCTGAGCGTGCCGTCGAACTGTGGAACCCCTCGCTCCGGTAGCATGTCCGCCATTGGTTGTGCCATCCTGCCCATGTTTATGAAACCAACTGTGAGGTCGTGTGTGTGGGCTGCCGAGAAACTGATGTGATAATCTCCTCTGAGATCTGATGTGAACTTGCTGAGATCTGCTGGGAGCTCGAAGCTGCTTATGGAGTTGGCGACCAGGTCCGAAGAGAGGTCGCTGAGATATGGAAGGTCGAAGCGTGAGCCTGGCTTACCAGGCTCCGCGACCATTATGAACTTACCAAAGCCCCCGAAGTCTTTGATGGCAATGAGAGTGCGAAGCCAGAAGAGCCTCTGACATGTTTTCCACGCCGCTGCTGCGCTGACTCAAGGGCCCAGAGAAAAGGTTTGGGCCAAAGTGCAATGGCACGCTCGCTATGCTACCGCCATGCTCTACATAACCTACACAATGCGCAATATGTACAGCGTATATCTCACAGCTACCAGCTCGAGGAATACCTGTTGCTCTGCCCCCCCCCCCCCTGTGGTCTCTGCAGTGAAACGGTCCATCGCCGTCTCTGTGATTGTTCTGCAGTCGGGGAGGTTCGTGCTGGGCCTATTCCTGCGGAGATCCTAGAGGAAGTTCGGGGCCCCTTGTCCGATGGTGATCGGATCCTCTCCGATCGGGGTATCTTCGAGCATCCCGAATAGTTCTGGCCGAAGGCTCGCCTCGTATCGTTGCTCAGTCCGGAGTGTTTTCTGATTGTCTTGGGGCAGTTAACCTGTTCCGCCTGCCCCCCAGCGAAAGGCTGTCGTATCGTAGGAGGTACTCGGGGCATTTGCTGGGCATATCAATAACGCCCCCCGCGTCCTGTCTGTAGTTGAAGTCAAGGCCCGCCAGGACGTGGACGAAGTAGTTTTTTTTCTGAGTCTGGGCGTCTGTCGCGGATGGGAACCGATTTCGCGGACAAAGCTGCCCAGCGAGGCGCTAGGTCCCACCCGCATCTTTCCACCGATGAAGTGCGAGTCAACCGATGTGTCAAAATTAGCAAGGTTGTTCATAGACTAGCTGCCAAACTCTTGCACCTCGGCCCCTGGGGAGCCATTGATCCCTCATCGTTGGCAGCGGCAGCATTCGGTCTGGAGGTGTATTGTCTGTAGGGCGGGCTCGCGCTCGATCACTACGCCGCCGGGAGGGCCCTGCAACCTGGTCGCCAGCTACGACTTGGATGATGCAGACTCCGTGGGTCATAGCGTTGTCGCGCTTCCCTGCTCAGATGGAGCGGATTTTCATGTCTGCCCGAAGTGCGGAGGCTACATGCATCAGGCTGTTTACGCGAAAACATCACTGCCCAAGTCCAGTGTTCTGGAGTTGCGCGGCCACGGCCGCGCTAATTACAATGAAATTGTGCAAGGGCGTCACCCCAGGAAGCCTTTGGGAGCCGGCAGGCCCGAGGAGCTGCATGCTCCTCGTTCGAGCCTCCCCCCATCGACGAAGACGTGGAAGATGATGGCCCCCGGGTTCTCCGACAGGTGGCGCATGGCCTTCGCTTGGAGGGCGCCGCCGCGGGAGCCCGCGGCACGGCGTCAGGGGCTGCTAGCAGTGCGGGGCCGAGTTCAGGAGGGGCCCTTGTCGGAGTTGCGGAGGCCCGCGGGTTTTTCTGGCATGGCCTGGACGGCCAGTCCTCGCATTCGCTGTCTTCTGTCTTGTCCGGCGATGATGGTGGATGGTGGGTGGCTGGTGCGGGGGAGCGTTTCTTCTGATTCTGACTAGGGCCGCCAATGCGAGCTACTTTGACTCTCTGGTGTTGTTTTCTGCGGTCACTGGACCTGCGCGGCGGGTTCGATCCGGAGTCCTTGTGGCCGTCCTTTTCGCTGCGCGCGTGTCCACCTCTTCCTGTTGCGCGGCCGTGGGGCGCTGGAGGTACTTCTCCCCCTGCGGTGACAGCTGCGCAGGGGGGCCGCTCTCCTCCTTGCTTGAAGGTGGTTGGGCGCGCGCGGTGGGCTCGATCTGGGGCCCCCGCGTGGCCGTCCTTTTCACAGCTGCGTGGGTCCACTTCCCTCTGCTTGCGCGGCCGTCGGCCGCTGGAGGTAATCCCCCCCCCCGCGGCGACCGCTGCTCAGGGGCCGCATTTTTTTATTCGCGGCAGCTGGGCTCACGTGGCGGGCTCGATCTGGGGCCCCCGTGGCCGTCCTCTTCACTGCTGCGCGCTATCAGCGTCCCCCTGCTGCACGGCCGTGGGGCGCTGGAGGTAATTCTCCCCCTGCGGTGACCGTTGCA